TGCACGCCCCCCACCAGGGACTGAGCCCACAACCTGGGCATGTGCCCTACCTGGGAACTGACCTGAGATCTCCTGGGTCATAGATCGATGCTCAATTGCTTAGCAGTGCCAGCCGGGTGAGTTTTTTGTAAGGTAGACTGCGTAATTATTATAATTCATTCCACTTTTGTTTAGCTTTTTTTGTTTTATCTTAAATGGGTAATACCTAGTACTGCAGCCTAGTTTTTCTTTATTGTTGATATTCAAATAAAAGATTTTGGAAAATGTATTTTGATAAAACCTAAAAGTACAAGCCACTTCCAGGTACCTGTTATTAAAAAGAACTGAATGTGACTCATTAACTTTGAGTCAGCATAAATTGAAACAGGTGTCTTAGTTTCTGCAGTTTAAAAAGTTTTACTCTTGCCCAGCTAGCATGACTCAGCGGTTGAGCATCAACACATGATCCAGGAGATCTGGGTTTGATTCCCGGTCAGGGTTGTGGGCTCGATCCCCAGTAAGGGGTGTGCAGGAGGCAGCCGATCAGTGACTCTTATCATTGATGTTTCTATCTCTCTATCTTCCTCTCCCTTCCTTTCTCTGAAATCAATAAAGACATATTAAAAAAAAAATTAACTCTTATTTGTTGTTTTATTTGTAATTGTTTTCAAAGAAAAAGGTATACATTAAAAATTTGCCTATTCAATATATATAGAAAACAAGTGGTTGGGGTTGTTTAAATTACTGCTTCCTCAGTAATATTTTTTTTAATTAAATTTATTGGGATGACATTAGTTACTGTGATCATATAGGTTTCAGGTGTAGGTTTCTATGTTATAAGATCTGTATATTGTGCTGTGTGCCCACCACCCAAAGTCAAATCTTCTGTCACCATATATTAGTCCCCCTTCACCCTCCACCCCCTCCTCAATAGTATTTTTATTTATAAAAGGGATTACTGGTATTTATTTAAAATGTAGTTACATGTTAATATTTAGTTATGTCAACCTGTTTTTAGAGAGTATGTCTGGAAGGTTGTTTTAACTGTCAGTTAAATATTTCGATTAAATATTTCAAAGCTTAAAGCTGTGGCTTTTCAAAGGGTAAGAAATGAAAGTTGTTAGACTTTAAAAGTGAAAATAGTGCCTTAAAATGAGTGTGAAAGTTACTGTTAAATGCCAAGAGACTGCCAGTAAAATCCTGAATGCTGAAAAGTAACTTTGTGAACAAAAGTGAACACTTGTTTTTTATACACCTCCTTGTAGCCAACCTGGTAACTAAAGATATATTCCATGGCTTCCCCTGCCCCCCATTGTTCAATTATCATACTTGTTTATTACAAAACTTGGGGTGTTTTTCTTTTAGGACCCAAATTCAGGGTTATTTAAAATTGTTTCTATAGCACTAATAGAAAGCAGAGAGTTGAATGGAGTCTGATATCCTTCATTTTACAAGGGAAAAATTAACCTAATGAAGTTTAGTGAGTGCTAAGGAAGCTGTAGCGACTCTTACTTAGGTCAGTTGTTAGTTTCCAATTTCAGAAAAATAATGTACTGAGAAATGCATCTGCCATAATCCAGTTTGTTTTGATTCAAAAAAATATGGTTAGGTGTAAGAAAAAAGAAGGCAAATATCAAAGTATTTTCATAGACAAGTGCTTGTTACTTCACTTCTGATTTAAGTCTTTGATTGATATAAAAATTTATCATATACCAATATTTTAAAATGTGAAAACTGAACCAATAGATATCTTTTTGGTGTCAAAAGTCAGTTTATGTGTGATATTACAAAATAATGGCTTCCATTTTGGAGAAAAGTTATAAGGATGGTCAGTTTACTACCATTTTTTGGTTTCTAAAATACATTAATTTTTCTTATTTCATGATTATTTTACAGGAAGATCATAATCAACCATTGTTTGGAGTTCAGTTTAACTGGCACAGTAAAGAAGGAGATCCACTAGTATTTGCAACTGTAGGAAGCAACAGAGTGAGTGTTAAGAGATCTGTTTGGCATTTGGTTTATTATTAGATTCTGGTGTTAATATAATAAGTGTAATGATTTTGAGATAAATTTTGTATAGCCAGTTTGACATTATTCCTTTATGTGAAAATGAAGCATTCTAGAAGTTGTCTAAGTAAACCTAGTGTTCATGACTGAAAATATATCTTTATTTCACGTATTACCCCTAATTGTTCATAAAACAGGTTTCTGTTTTTATTTTGTCTTAATACTTTATTTTGAGTGGTTGAAAGAATTGATGTTGCTGTTTTGGAAGTGATTTTAACACTTTGTCATTCTAATTTGGATAAGTAGTCTGTGATTTCTTAAAAATAAGTATAATTAGTGCCTCTATAAATGCAAAGCATAAACCTAGTGGATATATAATAGTTATTGAAAGTATTTTAATTATTTGCAGTAAACATTTGTTTGACTCATTTTTATTTAAGGAAGCCAAAAGTATCTTGAATTGGGAGAAGTGCATGGAAAAAAACATGCTGGGCACTTTTTTAATGTAAACCATTATTTTTTAGTTGAACCAGGGGATGAACATGTGGATTTTATTCATTCATGCCTTATACTTCTAAATAAGTGGAGAACAGGAAGATTCCCTAGTGCTTTTTGGAGAGTCTCTGGAATTTTCTATTAAATTGAAATCACTTCAGGGAAAAGTTGTTCTAAGTCTTTATTAGGTAGCATTCTGGGTATTCATTAATACTATAGTAGGAGTTAGGAATAATACAGAAATAGAGTGGTGTATTTAGAAAAGAAAGATGGAGGAAATAGACTAGTTGGATATGGGTTTACAACAAATACAAGTCACTTCCTCAACCTTCAGCTCAAGAGAGGAAGTGAGGTGCATCTGATAAATTTTCCATATGTTACTTTAGTTGAGTAAAATAAAATTTTAGTAATTGTGCTAAGTTTCTTAAAGAAATAAAAGAACATGGTTTTTAATGCACACTGTTTCCTATTGTCTGGTGCATTTAAAATTTTCTTACTGATTTTTAGAGAGGAAGGGGAAGGGATAGAGGGATGTCAGACATGCAGACAGATGCCTGTGGTACAGTGTGAGGTGTACTGTTAATAGACTTGGGCATTGGCTATTGGTGGTCAGCTCTGGGTACACTGTAGACTTGAAGGGTCATACCAGGGTCTGTGGGGCCTGACCTCTCCAGGGTGCAGCTGCCCTAGAGACCCAGCTGCAGATGCTCCCACCAGCAAGTCATTATCACTTCTTTTTAACTTTTTAAAAACTATTTTTATTGATTTCAGAGAAAGGAAGGGAGAGAGAGAGATAGAAACATCAATGATGAGAGAGAATCATCAATTGGCTGCCTCCTGCATACCCCCTATGGGGGACTGAGCCCACAACCTGGGCCCCAATTGGGATTCGAACCATGACTTCTTGGTTAATGGGTCGATACTCAGCCGTTGAGCCACACTGGCCTGGCAGCAGTTTCTTATTATCTAATGGCCACTGTAATAAGAAGGTATCTTCAGACCAAAAGAAGAAGCAGAATTAACAGAATAACAGAATTTTATTATATGGTAATGTACTTATGGGAAGATTTGTCCTGATCTGACAGACTGCCCAGTAGTTGTGCACAAATTCTCTGCTAAAGGCTTCTGTTTCTGTACTGTTTTTATAATACAGCTCAGGTATTATTGATTGACAAGACAAAGGAGCAAAGAATGCAGTAGTGCCAAGGCCCATACTTCCTGGTAGTCAATACTATCACCCGTTTGATATTCATCCTGGCCATTACTAACAAAAGTATTATGGTTACATTTTAGGGAACACAGATGATCACTAACTAGAAGGTTTTCATATGCCTACTAAGGACAGTGAGGTTGGTGAAAGGACACAAAGGTGGAGACGGTTTTCATATCTACACCTATACACCTACATTTATTTTCTGGGTTTTTTAATTGAATTTATTGGGGTGACATTGGTTCACAAAATGTTTTCTGTTTCTTAGTGTTGGTATTCTGTTCTCAAATAAAAATTAAGTTGATAGAAAGGGAGTTAGTATTACAATATTTAATATATTCCAGAAATTATGTAATATCTTAGACTTTATAATGGCTTCCTTAAATTAAAGAAGCCATTTTAAAGCAATAGTTTCTGTAATATCTTAAAGATACAGTTGTGACTAAAGTATATTTAAAAGCTAAAGAATGTGTTTCTGTATCGGGGATAAAATTTACTGTATTTTGTTTCATTAGGTTACTTTATATGAATGTCACTCACAAGGAGAAATCCGGCTATTGCAATCCTATGTGGATGCTGATGTATCCTTTCCTGAGTTTTTAATATCTTTGGCTAAAGAAATTGACTTTCATAAATACACTGAAACTTTTCTAAATAAATTACTTCCCTAAAGTTATATTGTTCTTTCTTAACCTTAACCAATGCTATTCCTTCACTACCACCCAAGAGATTTCTGGTATCTAGTTATCTAGTTTTCCTGATCCGTAGGAATCCATTGTAGGGTGGATATGAGGGAGACTGGTACAGGTGGTTAGAGATGTTTATTGGAAATCCAGTAATAGAAAATGATAAAGAAAGTAGCTAAAACCTCCTGTTTTTGAGTGAGTATATGTGTTTTTCTTTTACCTTGCCTAGAATTTTATCATTTCAGAGTAGTTATATTGATGAACTCAGGTTATCAGAAGCTAGGACTCAGTCATACTAAGGATTTGATCAACAAAGCCTACAGGGAAAAAATACACGTGTTCAGTTTGTTTAGAAAATAAAATATTGGAAAACATGGGTTCATAAAGATAAAGATTTAAAAAGCCAAAGGGTTAGATAGAAAAGCTTAATGATGAGATGTTTCTTTTAGATGCATTTAAAAACTTTGCAAACAAAAAAAAGACAAGGACTTTCAGTCTTCCCTAGATGATATGGAAAGAAGTGACCCGAAGCCATCTTGGAAAGGTCTCACACAAGAAAAAGTGGAAAATTGAATAGTTAATCATCTTTATCTAGAGGCACATAGTTAGAAGTATTGGGATAGAGCTAGGGTCTGCAAAGGACAGCCCCTGAGGGTGGCCATCAGTTTGCTTTTTTAATTGAGGTAATGGACCACCCACCTGTTTTTGTAAATACACTTTTATTTGGACACAACCATGCCCATCCTTTACATATTGTCTGGCTGCTTTCAAAACATGGAGTTGAGTTATGCAAACAGCTAAATAGTAACCAAAATTGAATGGAAGGACTGGTTTTGTTCCATTGTTTGGCATAGATTATAGGCCTAAAAATCTCCATTGTTTAAATCTGATAGGATAAAGAATAATGAGAACTTCTATGTCAAAAACTTTAGCAGTTCTTTGGAGGTTTCCATGTATTGTATTATAATTATTTATGTGTTTACTTTTCAAAAACAAATTACATTTCTTAACCAGCATTTTGTAGGCTGATGAAAACTTTTACACTTGTGCGTGGACATATGATAGCAATACAAGCCACCCTCTGCTGGCTGTGGCTGGATCTAGAGGCATAATTAGGATAATTAATCCCATAACAATGCAGTGCATAAAGGTGGGTTTTCTGATTAAATTGTAGATTTGCTTTCCTTTGAATGCACAGCTATGAAAATTTGTCATTTGAATTTAAAGGAATCAGTGTCTACAGTTTCTGGTTTGATTTATACTTTGCTTCTTTCATCCTTTAAACAAGTGTTTTGAGACCTTTGCTATTGGGTAATGCGAATTAAGGAATGAGTAGGAAAAATTTATTATTTACAATATTTTCTTTTCTTCTGCCTTGCCTTGTCCTAAGAGACTCTGAATGAACAATAACAGAAGAGTGATTCCATTCTCAAAGACACCCTAAGTAGAGTTGCAGCCTTGGAAGGTGATACTAAGTTTTGCATAGCAGTTTAGTTAGAAGTTTTTAACCCTGAAGGCACAGTAGAACCACCTGAGGATTTTGTCTTGCCTCTGCTAATCCAGTCAGATCAAATTATCTGTAGGTGGGACTTGAGCATCTTTTTGCTAATCCAGTCAGATCAAATTATCTGTAGGTGGGACTTGAGCATCTTTTT